CAGAGGCTAATTTCTTGAATACTGTGGGCTATGTTGAAACCTGTAACGTTTTTATGACGTGCCATAAACTGAATACACAGTAATAGATAACTTTGCTATTTTAGTCACAGAAAATCTATTGTTCATTACCATGAAGTTGCACAAGCTGCTGAAACTATAGAAAAGTTTATTTAAAGCTGGCTAGCAGAGCAAAACTTGCAAGTCATTAGTGAAGCTTTTAAGTCTGAATTTTCCATACAGGAGAACCATAGAAGCACTTAAGTACATTTATTCTGAACTTTCAGTATATATAGGATTGGGGTTTTTTATGTCAGTCTGATTTTCCAAATGTATACAACACATAATAAGCTATCACATCTGTGGTCTTGTATTACTGGCAAACATGGCCTGTGTGTAGAATGCTTTATAATTACACATTTTTCCCTATTATATTTGCTGGGTTTTTTTCTTTTTATTTTTTCTTCCCCCTTGTCCCTCTCCCCCAGTGTCTACTGGTAGCTCATACTTGAAAACAGATCAGTGAGTAGAAATGCCAGTTGTCTGTAAACTCTGACAAATTGGTCCTTTGATGATATTTAGTGGTTTCAACACAGTAAATGAGATTTCCTTTGGTGTTAGAGCGAAACTGACTTTGAAGTGCTAGCAGAGAAACATTTCAAATGGGAAGCTTTAAAGTATTAAGTTTTTCCAATGCTTCATATCAGGATGTTTGGTTGGAGCTGTAATCTGAGGACTCTCACCTGGATAACTCTCCTTATTGCAGGACTGATGACCAGCTGCAGTGGCAAAAAGCATCTCCTAGTCACTCTCAGGAAGTTCACAGTATGTGCAATACACATCATGTACATAAAACCTTCCTGCTTGCCACAGCAGAGAGTCTGAGGTGAACCTCATGGAATATTTTCTCCTTTTCTCACAGCTGGAGAACTTGGCGATTGTATGAGGTGTAATGAAATTTGACAACCTGTTTGAAGCATGTTCAGGACAGTAGGGAACTCAGTGCAGGCCACAAGTAGTCTAAATAGTTGCAGAAAGACCCCTCTGTGTAGCCTGTGCTGAATGAGAACTTATGCTGAGCAAACACTAGGGTTTTTTTTGGAGCTTGTGTGATGCTGTCTCCCTGCAGAGCAGGGTTTTTTCTGCTTGTATGGAGATTCTGGAAGAAAAATGAGAGCAAATGCAGTGTTCCAAGAGGCTGGAGGGCTTATTGTCTTTGCAAATGTGTGAAGAACTGTAGGCACAAACGCTATAAGCCATTTCAATTTGACAGTATATGCTTCTTTTGCTTGCTCCTTCAGAAAAGAGTTGTGCAAATGGGTATTTGAGGAGAATCTTGTCTTTGAATAACACATGTATTCATGAATAATCATGAATAATCATGGATTTATATATATCTGCAAGACATACAATGGGGGTGCACTGGCAATATCTGGCAATTCTAAAACCGTCTTTCATGAGGGGTAGAGGTAAGATCCATCAGCTGAAAATTCTCCAACCTCCTGCCTGTGACAGATGGTTGTCACTTTTCTGCAGTGAGATTGACCTACTGGCTTTTCAGCAGGGTCAATGTCAAGGGTCAAACAGTGACTCCAGCACATGCTCTCTTACCTCCATTACCTTTTTTTTTTTAATGTCTTGGCAGGATATCTTAACGTCACAGGAGGATGAAGAAACATGGTGGCCCAACTCGTACCTTCAGCTAAACTCATTGTAAACTGAGGATATAAACTGCAAAATCCTTCATGGAACATTGAGAACAAATGCATTTGTACTGTTTCATGAGGTTCTCATTCTCACTGTGATGAGAGGAGGATCTTGGAGCATGTGAACATTCAACTTACCTGATTGCACTTCATCTACTTCCTCCTTAAAGATCTCTTGTTGAGGTCTTTCACCCTTGTTTCCTATTTATACCCTCCACATCCAAGGCACAACAAAGTCACAGTACCTATTTGCCAACTTCTGACTGACCAGGAGAAGAAAATTTCAACTTTTTGGAACTCTCCACTTATGTCTCTGTCATCTGTTGTCCTTCAGGTCTTCTGATGTTGATCCTCTGATAGATTTGATTTCAGAACAGTGCTCAGAAGCAGGAGTTCATGGTTATGAGCAAGCTGAGCATCAGCCACAAGCATGGAGGAAGAGATACAAACCTGTATGCTTATTGAATGCATGAATGAATGAATGAAACTCACAAGGAAGGCTAGTTTACCTCTGGATAACAGGTTCATGTAAGCAAACCATGCAATGAATTACATTAGTGCAGCTTCCCTGCATTTCCTCACTTAAGGTATACGTGCTTTTCTTTGCCTTAGAAGACTACTAAGCAGTTCAGCCTCTTTTTTTTTTTTCCCCAGCTGGAATTGACATAAATTTTATGATACAAACTTAGATACAAGCCATTATCATTCTCTAATTATATAATATATATCCTAAGATTTCTGATGTTGTTATCACCACTGTTTCCAGATGCTAAAGATATTTAGTTCACTGTAGATGCTCCTTTATGTTCTTGGTCCATTAGATAATAATCATATTGCGTATATCTCAACAACATAAAAATGACAAAAATGGTGTTATGAAAGTATAAATTTTGATTTAGAAACTGGCCTGAATAATTTTAGTTTAATGTGTAATACAGCTTAAGCTGATTCATTTCTTCTACTTTGTATCTTCTACTATCAGGAACCATGATCAAGGGCAGCACTAGGTGTGTGGAAAGTTAGACTGTTTTCTGAGCTTCTGAAATGGTTGCTTTGTTCAAAACATCAGGAAATACAGCAGCCATGAAACTGTGAAATTAAGATCTTGCACATACTGAAGAGAATGTCCATTGAATTAATGAACATTTCATTCTGTTAATTCCCACATCTATATGCAAAGCTGTCATGATTAAAAAAAAATAATAATTTGAGATGTTGCTTGATCACAGGAGTTTAAGTTTCCCACAGATGCTTATGTTCTTTGAATTCCCAGATTTCAGTTTCAGCTTCTGAGTAGGCCCAGAGCTACATAAAAGTTCAACTGCTCAGTGTCTGTTTTGCTGCCCATGATGGGGTGTACTGACAGTTTCAATGTATGTATTTGCTTAACATCTTGATCTAAGAGGCATGTCTAAATAATTAAATTTAAAAAAAAAAAAATAATGATCTCGTTTAAGAGGGCAAGCAATATTGTCACCTTTCTCCAGTAAAATGATGCGTTACAGCATAAAACCTCCATACAATACTCAAGACCTGACTTTAAGACCTTCTCTGTCTCAGGAGATGCAAATGTACAACATCTAGTGACACCATTAGGACCTTTCTGCCTCCAACCTCTGGCTGTACAAAGCTATAAATCTCTGTATGGAAGAGCTGTTAAAAACTAGTTTCCCTGAATCAATGGCTATTCCCTTTGGCACAAGGTAAGATGGTTAGTTCACAAGCAGTGAAAAATGTTAGGCAGGAAGAAAGGCACTTCTGATACTTTGCAAACGACACAGGAATTGGATGCTGCATCTCCTACTCTCACCACTGGGCTGCTGGATTGGGCGTGATAGAGTAGTACAGCCTTCTTTGGAAAAATGTATGCTAATTTAAAAACAAATACTGATTGTGTAGCTAGCGTTAGCTAGTTGTGAATTATAAAGTGTGCGTCCCCTATTACAGGGCCAAAGCAAGCATTCCCTTCTCCTCAAAGACTTATGCTAGTGTCTCCCACCCATTTGCTGTGTATGATGTGACTGAATGCATAGGGACCCCCAATGTGTATATGGATTTCCTGTAAGATGAGATATGTAAAGGCCAACTGTAGCAATAATGAGCATAAAGGCCCAACTTCAGGCCTGTTCAAGTTCAATGCAAAAATTGTTGACACCAATAAGATTTGATCAAAAGCTTTAGGGGTGCCTCTGTGAATTCATGAGAGTGTGGTGGATTAAGTCGACAGTCCCACTGAGGCAAATTTATCACAGGATCAGGTTATGAAGCGAGACAAAGTGATGGCTCCTTTTCTTTAAATGTTTGTGTCAGTGTTGCGGCATTTCTATTTATCTCTAGTTTTGTCTGGCTTTCAAAAACTATACTTTTGAAAATATGAGTATGCACTCTAAGCCACAAAAAGTTGAACTTTATTTTATTATCTGACAGTTAAGCCTGCAAAAACTTGAGTCTGAAAACATTAAACTCACTCATCCTTCAATACAGTTAGTTCAATTTTCCTGTCAAACTGGAACACTTATTTTCCTTGGAGAGTCAAACATTCTTTTTTTTTTTTTTTTACCCTTGACTTTTAGTTAAAAAAAAAAAAAAAGACAAGACACTGTTCTCTTTCTGTGTTTTTTGGGAAAATGCATTAATGCCAATTTAATTGCAATTTTAACTCACAGATGTCTTTCAGTTCCACTGAAGTATGTAATATAGAAAATACTCCACACAGTTCAATTGTCTTGAATTCTGAATTGTGCGTAGAACCTGTTCATATTACTCTTAATATCTTGTCTATATGTCACATTTATCTGAAAATGAGCTAAATGTAAATTGCATCAATCTTTAGTTTTTCCAGTTCTTTTGCAAGCAAAATTATACAATGCTTCCTAATAACACTAAAGAGACATTCAAGACAATTTTAAACACAATTTTAGCCTTCTGGTTTATAAACAGCTTTTCTAAGCTCCCCAAATGCAAAAGATATATATATATATGTATATGTAAATGTCACATTTAGCAACAGATTGTGCACATTGGCTGGGCCAGACACATACATAACATTTATCTATTGACTTGAATCCAAGAACTCACTTAAATTACTCATGTGCTTATTACTGAATAAATGTTTAGTGGATTGGAGCAAGAAAGGGAAGGTTTTTTCTTTCCCCAGTCCTAAACTTGCAATGCTTGCCTAGCTTTTATAGCTCTGAAAGTTGAGTCATGAAATGCAATTTACCTTGTAATTCCTTTCTTTTTTTTCAATGGAGTAGGACAAAGAGAGTGGTAAAAAGAATAAGATGGTACAGAGAATTAAGATTGCTGAATTATTTATTAAAAATACAGTTCAGCTGGTTAGGTGACATTTTTGTGAGTTTGAAGAAAAAGGGAAAAAACAAGACAAAAAAAGAGAAAGGTTATGGTCAGGTTCTCCCACCTTCCATATATATGACTCACATAATGAAACATGAAGAATTGCAGGGTAACATGGTTTAAATCCTCCAGTTTACTCCATCCTTCTATGTGCAGCCACTAGAATGCACTGAGTTTCAAGAGGATTTCTGAAGAAGTGGTTGCTCAGCGTGTATTGTGTATTTTAATTTTAAACCAGTAAAATGAAACCTAGGAACAATTAGTAGAGTCTCCTACATCTTTCTCAAGCACAGCTTTCTTTCTTTCCTCCTACAGCTTTCTTTCTACACACTGCTATTTTCACCCTTTTTCTCCAAATTTACCAAACAATATAGACATATTTTATTCTGTCAAAGGGATGGAAAAAAATTAAGACGCTAACCATATACCTTGTTATATGAAAGTTCCTGTTACACATTGTTTTTGAGGCAGAAACGTCTATGCCCACTGTTGTCTTAGAGAGCTACCAGGGCTGGAATGTTCCCCAAACACCTTTGCTTATAAACAGGAATGAATTCTAAATGCTATGTCAATGTGTGAGAACAAGACGTGAAACTAGAGTGAAGAAACAGTATGACTCTTCCTCTGGCAGATCACATGAGTTCAACAAAATGGAAACAAATGAAAGTCATTGGTGGGCATTGTGCACTAACCATTCTCAGCTGAAGAGGGACAGAATTTCCTGATGTACTTTTACTCAGGGTGACCTTGGCTTAAAGGCCAGATGATCAGCTGAGAGCCCTTCTAGGATCCTTCCTCTGTCAGGGTTAAAGTATCTCAGTAACAGGGCCTGACATTTCATGTAATTTCCTTTTTTTTTTGGTTAAAGTAAATTATGTACATGTTGACGAAATCTATGATTCCTTCCCATTTCTGTAGCCATGTTGATGGTTTCCATAACAACTTGCCTGGAGTTAGGAAGAGGCTCACTGCCTGAAAGAGGGAGAAAGCAGAAAGGTGATAGGGCTTGTTAGCAAGAATGTGGCTACAATGCCAACAGGAATGTCAGCATATCTTTTTTAAAAGTTATATACATATTTTGGTTTTAATTTTTTTTTTTTTTATACTGTCACAGTTACCTCTGTTGCCTGAAACACGGTGCATTAAATACTGCTTAGTCTTCTTAGACTTTCAGTTCTCCCTTTTTCCCTCTAGTCTGCAGTGTGTGAAGACTTCTCATCCCCTTTCATTATTGCTCATGTTCAGGGGGATGCTGCTCCACTAGCACTAGGGCCCAGAGTGTCCTGGTGCTCCTTCCTCTTCTTTTCCTGAACAAGATCTGAGGGCTTTTGTGAGGTGGCACTCCAGCAAAATGGTTTAAGCAACTGATGACACCAATGCACCAATATTTGGAGGTTTGGCTGTACTTAATGGTAGTTGTTGCTTTTGTCAATAGAAGTCAGGTAAAGCAAGCAGAGGATGAACAGCAAAGTCCTCTGAGATGCAAGCCAGAGCACTGGCTTTCGCTAGTTTGACAAGTACTGTGAGTGTACATAACCGAGATGGCAGAAAATGTTTGTCAGGAACAGTATGATTTTAATTCCACTGTCCAACTTCATTCATATTTATGAGTCACAGAATTAAAAAATAATGTTTTGAAGGCAGGAATTCAAACATGACTCCTTAAAGCAGAGGAGACAACACTTCTATGAGTAACAAGATAACTTACTCCTCCACTGTGGTCTCCATCCCCCTTTAGGAAAAAGAGCCAATCCCAAACAGTGATTGTTTGGCATTTCTGATACACAAGCCTTTCTCCTCTGTATAAATTTTAGTTATAAGGGCTTATTTTTCCCTTCTGCTGATACTGTGTTTCAATGTTGTCCATTTTGAACTTAGACCTGACGGACTTTGTTTCTCGATTTTAGGTGGAAACTATAGGTCAAATGCACTAACAAAGCTTTCAAAAAGGGTAGATTTTATAACTGGGAAAATCAAACTAGAAAAAAAGAAAGCAAAATCCTCCCTAGAAGTAGCTTTGAGTAATGCCAAATTTCTTTTTGTCATGAAGAAGCAGTTGCTGAGCTTACAATAACTTAGTACTTTTAAAAAAGTAGCTAAATGAAGAGCTTTGGAATGTTAGATTCATATCTTGCAGAACTGGACCTGCACAACTTCATGAACAAGCTGAAAATGCTCTTCTGAGTGGAGAGAATGACTGTGATTTTGCTCATTTGCCTTGTTTTCAAGACTGGTATTTCAGGATGGGCATTATAATATAATGTAGCCTGTACCCCTGGTAGGGCAAGAAGTTGTTCTTAGGGACTAACTATTATATCTCAGTCTCAAAACTCACCACTGGTGCTGGCTGTGCTACAAGAGAAAGCTTAATATCAGCTGTAGTCTCCACAATGCAACAAAATGAATTATAGGATATATGCTCATAGCTAAATGTATGGTTTGAATGTGATATGCCAAGATCCTTTAAAAATACTGTCATCCTCTTGAAATCACCATGAACTTACACTATTAAGGAACCTCATAAATGGCATTCCTCATTAACCCTTCAATGTTTAAATTGTCTATTTAACAATTTTGTTCTCGGAATCTGAAACTGATACATCTGTGTTAAGTGATTATTTTCTACTTGTGCTATTTGAGGCGCTGCAAAAGACTCAGGTAGGATTATAAAGGGAAGACTCTAAAGGCAGCACAGCAGCTTGAAAGAAGGTGGTTTTTTTTTCTTTTAATCCTATTTTGATATTAAAATTGGACTGTGAAAATTTGCCCTAAGTTCTAGAGGGTCAGAATTTAAAGTGAGAAAGTAAACCAATGTGTACTTAGTGGGATGTTTTACTTCCAAAGAAGTAAAATCTTATAAAAACCAAAATGGAAGGTGTAAAATTACCTATCAGTACTTTAGATAGGTAATTACCTATAAATCCTTCTAATTTGAATTAACAAGAATATGGAGATCTGCTTTATCAAGATCTAAATCCATCATAGAAATTTATTTTAAACTGACATTCTAACAAATAGGTGCTGTAGAAACACTCCTGAAGGTATTTTAACTAACATTTTTCCCATTTCCTGATCTTCCGGTTATTCATGTTTACCCATGGTGAGACAGTTTTGAATTAAATTGCTGAAGTTGGTATTTCACATCAAGGCAATTATCAGTTTTCCTTCAATGCAAATAATCTTTCTTTTTCCTTTTTAGGTTTTGGCCTTGTGAGCTTTAAACAGTGCAGTTTTGATTCACAGCAAAAGAAATTGCAGTTGGAAGTCTGCACATGAACCAGAACAGTTCTGGGACAATACACCTTGATGACTGACTCCAAATGACTGTCCCTGTCGGAAAATTTTCAGAGGTGTAACTAATTCTTTTAGCCTCACATTTATAGAAACGTTGCTTTATTGAGCTGGTTTATTCCATAATGAAACTTGTTTGCTTTCAGTAGAATGAGACACGGAAACCTTTTCCTACAGAGGATGTTTCATCATTAATGCAATCAACACAGCTAAAGCTTCTACTGAACTATCAACATCCATGCCACATCAAAAACCTTACTTCCACATCCTCATTCTGTTGAAACTTGTTCCCCTTCTATCTCTGTGAAAACCAGGTGAAAAATAACGACAACTTTATAAACTTTGGGCTAGCTGGTAGGGGTTCTCACAAATGCTGTTGCAAGAAAATGTAGTATCCTGGACAGTGCATTAGCTCAGCTCCACTTCTTTCTGAAGAGCAAGGGTCTGTACTGTGAATGTGTAGCTCATCTGGAGGTTAGTCTGACAAGCCTCTGATGTTAAACTGTTTCTATGCCTGATGTACTGCAGGACCAAGTCTTCATCTTTGCTTAGAAAGCTTGGAAAGCTTAAGATAGCTTTCTGCTTTTCACCTGCACCCAACAACGTGATGGGTTTTTATTTCCAGTGAAGTGTCAGACAATCTAGCTTACACAAATTGACATTAATTTGAACGTTACAGTGTTGCCTAAACAAAGCAGTTGAATCAATCTGGAACTCGTGCGGTTTTTGTTTGCTCTCTTGTCATTTTGCTGAAATAGTTAGGCTTACAATAAGCCAGTTTAGGATTGATGCTGTTGGTTTTTAATTGATAAGGTTTGAAGAGTAAGAACATATTTTAATCTGACTCTATGTTTTTCTTGGAGGCTGCTATCTCACCTAACTGCTGCCTGTGGTCAATGGTCAAAGGTTATTGCATGAGGAAGAATTGTTTCAGACGAAATATTGTGCCGAGCTAGAGGAACCTTTTAGACTACAACTTCTGGTTTTGCTTGTTTTGAAGGACATCACTTTTCTTCATCTCCCTTTTGGGGAGTCTGTGCCTGTTGTTTAGGGACAAGTTCTTGGACTAGAAAATAGTGGGAGAGGTGAAACTATGCCACTTGAAGACAGTGATGAAACTCCTAGTAATGTGCAAAGACACCAGCTTCTTTTTCAAATGTTTATCACAGTGGCACTTTACATATTCTGCATAGAAAGTGACAACACAAGACTTTTTTTTTTCCCTGCATTCTTCTCACCACTGAAGTGGAGAAACCAGTGAACAAATGAGGACATTGGTGAAAGAGTAATTTTTATAGCTCAACAGAAACTTTTGGAAAATGGATGAAATGCTGAAACTGGCAGGAGTATCACAGGATACGTGCCCAGGTGTGACTGAAGAGGAGAGCAGCACCCTGCTGCCAGGACCTGGGTAAAGCTTCTTAATGTGCATTTATGATTGCCCTGAAGTGCAAAGCCCATTCTTTTACCTGATTCCACAAATACAGCTGTGCTTCCAGACATCACCCCTGGTAGTTATTACTATTAGAATGAAAGCTCCCTTTGGTGCCTTTGTTCTTGGTAGCTGACATTTGTTGCCTGACAAAGAACAGGCTGCTAATTTGTTTTTAAGGATATATTTTTCAGCTTCTATGTTAGAATATCTGTCAAAATGGAGTGTTTGCCTTATGAAAGTACAGCCAAAAATATGCCTGGGATCTTAATACCTGAGAGCATTTGTGTGTGGAAGTGGGAGGAACAGAAGTGTTGCTGTACTTTAGAAACCCCCAAAATAGCATTCACATTTGCTTCTTCTGGGCACCAAGTCTTTTAACCACCTCTGTTGGCTCCAGTGAGCTTGCATCCTTGCTGTGTTTCTGCCACATCATCACTGTGCTGGAGCAAAGCATCCTCCTTTGCTGTGTGAGGGATCCTGCTTTCTCCTGGCCCCAAGACATTACCAGGCTTCTCCAAGGACTCCATGACATGTATATTCAACTCTATCCCACTCCCCGTGTTGCTGGAGTCTGCCTTTCAGCACTGTTTGTTACTCCTTTGGCAGCGTAGTCCCCACTCAGTATCATTATTTCTGGTACATTGGTAAAGAATAGGGTTCTCTGTGGGTTAGAGGCATCCATTACAATGCTGCACTGTGGGCTGCTTCATTTATTGTCTTGGTAATTCTTCTGTAATTAATGGTGTGAGACAGAGATTGCTCTTCACGCAATTTCAACTCCCATTAGTACTGAACATTAGAGAGATGAAGCTGCACCCTATATGTGTATGCACAAAAGATTTCCTGTGCTTATGCTGCTATTTCTACATCATGATAGCTTTTTATTAGAACTAATTCCAACAGCAGAAATAAGTTATCATCTTTTGGATGAAATAATCCTTATGGAAATGAATATTTTTCTTTTCATGCCATATTTTATGATGACGTATGAAAAAGCAAAATCAAGAATGTCTATTTTATAGGCAGAGTTAGCCTTCTGGATTATGGTAGTGACAATAAGCAGGACTTTGAAAGATTATCAAGTCCATGGAAGGAAAAGAGAATAAATTTGAAATGAGGAGCAACTACGAACGTAAAATAGAAGATAACCCTTGATGAGAGCTCATAGGTTACTGTTAGTGAAATTCAGTTGCTAAAAAGATATAGATCAATGTAATAGATATAAAAACTTGTTTTTTAACTACTGGAATAACTCCCACAGAAGCCAATGTCCTTTTCGTTTAAAAAAAAGGGTGTTATTTTCAGGTATTTCTTTTTCGTTTTTTTTTTTTGTATTTGGATAATCTTTCTTTGAGATATTGTGTTATTATGGGACTGAGTGGACTATTGGCCAAATATGTAGGCCTATGTAACTGTGGGATAATATACCTGAATGAAAGTAGGTATGTATAAAGCCATATCCTACAAAACATTAGGAACTATTAAAACATCAATGGTATTTACTTTGAATAAGACAGCATTAGTTTTTCCCTAAAGAAAAACAGTTTCCAGCACCCAGCTACTTGGAAAAAATGCTGTCTCTTAGAAACCTCAGTAAGACAATATTGCCTTTTGAAGGTGAACATCCTGACACAAATGGTGAGTAATCTACTTGTAGGAGCCATAATGTGACCTAAATTACCTTTCCAAGAGTGCAGACTCTTTTCTTTTGAACACTAGATGACTCCTCAGCTTTTACTTCAGGAAAGTACAGTCAAAGACCTTTCCATCTTCAGCTCAACTACAGCAGGTTGCCAGAATCCACTCAGGTCATTGTATTTTCAGTCAGCCATTGCTCCCTCCTGAGAGCTAGTTGACAGAAGATGGCAAAAGCAAGCTCAAAAATTGGACATACCTCAAGAAAGCAAGTTAGCAATCCTTTTTATTCATTTATTCTCACTTTGCCAATCCTAAGCAGTAATTATCTTTTGAAATATGCTTCACTAGTAGTAATAATTTTACAACCAGAACCGCATTATATTTTTAGAATGCATATCTCCATTCTCATCTCATTTATTTTTCAGCAGGTGTCTCTCCAAACAGAGGTAATAAAAATCACCTGTAAGATCACAATCTCAGAAATATTCTTTCTTTGTGTGATTTCTCCAATTTAGCATATTTTAAAAGTGCCTGATCTGTGTAAGAGTTAAGAATCAACATACCATTTGACTAGGATTTCCATGGGAAATAGAAAGGTATGTAAGATTAACTTGCAGACAGTAATGCTTTTTCTCTTTAGGGAGTTCAGCTGCTTATTGCAGAAAGATATTAAGATGTTCCTAGTAGTAACACAGTGTCCTGAACTGATGTTGCTTTGGAGACAAAAGCAATAATGTACATTCATAGGCAATACCAATACTTGCCCCACTTTTATGGTTATTAATATATATTGTAACTAGTTTCTTTTGGACACAGCTGCCTCAGTAGGTTACGTATATGAACTGTTGTGAAAAGGGTAAACCATGAAATTGGACTGTAAGACAAAGCCATGCTCTTGCAGAGGATCACAAAATATTTGATACTCAGCATAAGCTGACAAGCGACAGTGCTGCAGGGAGTTCACAGAGGTAACTTTTCCAAAGCCTATGTTGCCTTTGATTATAACCTGACTTCTGAAAAGACCTGGCTTGTGTTCCTACATTCATGAGACTTGCAAAATGGAACAAATACTGTGCTCACACTTACACATCTTTTCCCACAAACAAATTAATTTGTCCCTGCAAAGTTTTGTTCTTGTACCCATTAGAGCTTCAACCGTTGTTCAGCCCTGTTGCTGCCTGTCATGATTGTGATAGTGATGGTGTATTGGCAAACAATCAAATCCATATAATTTGACATGCCACGTAAGTCTTTTATCTCTTACCATGTGGGCAAATAGTAAGAAAAAAAAAAATTGCTTTTCAAATTCCTTGGCAAAGGCAGTTGGAAAAACTTTGTCAAAATAATTTCCTAATAAAGTGCAGGATGGTTAAGAAAGGGTTTCTTCATTCAGACATGCCAGCTAGAGTGAGAGCAAGGGAGCTCTTGGGTCCACATTGAGCTCCAGTTAGATAAGGAAAGATCCATTTGTACCCCAGGAAATCATTATTTTTGCAGTAGATAAACAAGGTTCTTGATAGAGAGGACACTCAGGTGGGCTTTTTGTTAACATATCCCAGCTGCAGGCTGTCTCTGCTTTAAACTGGGACAGAGTTTGGGTTAGGCAGCCTTTGAACAGGTAATTGAGTGAGACTGGAAGGAATACCCCAACTGCACATCTATTTACTTGGATGTTTTAAACAAAGTGCTGTTTATTCACTCAAAGGTACAAAGCAAATATGAAAGGATAGAACCAAGTTCTCCTATTTTGTGTTTCCTCCTTGCCTTTTGTATATGCTCATCACCCTCCCTAAGCAAATTCTGGCCTGTTGCTCTCCCTTCCTCCAAAGACTTGACTTTTTTAAATCCTGATCTTAAGCTTAGTGCTGGAAAGAGCAATCATCCTTACTCTGGCTGTCATGAAGTAGCTGCTTCCAGATAAACACTGCCAAGGTTTGCAGTTGTGATTTCAAAGTCCTGGGTTATTTTTAACTTCCAAACTGCATTTACTTTTAAAGCATGGAATATACTGAACAGGGCTGATTTTGTTTTTATAGGACCAGGGCACTCTAGGAAGTTTTCTTAAACTTCATTTAAAATGTTATTATGCAAACATTTTTGTGATTTCTTGGCTATTCTTTTCTCAGCTGAAAGCTTTTATGAGCTGTGTAGATCTCTGTTGATGACCCAAGTGATTTTCTGAGTCCTGGAGGTTGGGGTTCTTTTTGTTTTAAATCACTCCATATACTTATTGCTGAATATAAAAAAAGTGCAAATAAAGAGTTCCTGTAAATATATTCTCTTGCAAAATGAATAGCAAAGCTCTAGAGAAATCCTCACTCTGATAAAACTGCTAACTTGTTATGAAATGAAGGAACACATGATCTTAGATGAAGCAATATTTAAAATAAGAGGGAAGAAAAAGAAAAGCTTACTGCTTATTGAAACATCTGTAATTGTACTTCTAGCACTTGTAATTGCACAGTGCTTAAATTTCTCAGGCATCTGTAATTAGTTTTAATTCTTTAAGCAGAGTTCTAAATACATAAAAGGTTTGTTATTATCTGTAGTTTTCTACTTAGCATATTATAGCTATTGTTTTGCATATACAATATGCAATACGAACACAAAACCTGACAATCAGATTTTTATTTATAAAAAATGGTAACTGCAGTGGATTAATAACATATTTTCTGGTTATTTAGGTCAAGCACTTGCTAAAGATAACATAATATGCATTTTTAGCCACATATGTTTGCAAGTATAGCATCTGATAATTTATCACTGCATACTAAGAAGGCTCATGACCCCTATCAGAAAATCTCACTGGGTCCCTTAAACTGTGTGCAGCATACCCAGCATGGGGGCATCTGAGAAACATTCTTCTCTCCATTTCTATTAACTTGAGAAAACTTTGGGTCAGATGCTTTTTTTTAACAGTTTGTTGCAAGATGTTTTTCTGAGTACAAACATATTTTAGCAGTGAAGGAAGCAGAAGCTCTTAATTTACACCACATATTCTTTTTCCATCCTTGAAGAATTTGCATTTCTGCTGACTTGCTTTGCTTTTCTTTATGGGGCCTCACACGTACTTAACTGCAGTGTTGTTTATTTGTAGCAGGTGTAAAGTTAATTGCTCATTTGTAGCAGATGTAGGGTTAATTTAATGTAGCATGTGGGTGCTGATTATTATTAGTGACCAGTGGCATCATTTATGACTCTACTCGTCTTTCAAGTGTTATAGTAACTTAGAACAGGTATTTATTCACACTTGTTGCAGATGTTTCCCCACCTCCCTAGAGTCAGCTGGTAAACAGATGGAAATTGCCTCTGCTGTTAGCTCTAATTGCTGAGAGGGATGGGGCCTTGTTGACATGCAACAGCTAGGGTCACCTGCTCTAGCTTGCTCGAGGGCTTCTTCTGTTCTCTTCTGTAATCTTGCCTCTGAGTTTTCAGATCATCTCTTGGAAAGAAATCTAGGTTCATCCACAATTTTGGAGATGATGACTTTGCAATTCCTGTATTTGCTTTGTTTTTCCCACCGTTGTGATGTTTTAGAACTTCTTCCTTTGCCCACTCTTTACTTGTCCTAAAGAGACTAGATTTAATTTTATTCATGGTTCAAGTATTTCAGTCAAGTGCTTTGCAGAATGGCCAACACAGCAGAACCCTATTTGGGCAACTGTACGCTCTCATTGTACAAATAGTAAAAATAATTGGAAAAGGTTTCTGCCTTGCCAGATTTAATTCTGACAGGTAGCAATGTATGCCACCTGCCCATACGCGTAGTATAATAATGTCCTTTGAAACAGTTCTGCATCACCGCATTAAGCAATGTAATGAAAGATTTGCTGGAAACTGACTACTTTGCAAAACAGACTCTTTGTTTGATTTGGCATAGTTATTCTGATATTTGAAATTTTACAACGGATTTTTTTTCTTGAATACTTTTAGTTGCAGTAATGTGACTCAATAGTACTGGTTCTTCAAAACAACAAAAAATTAACTATGTATTATAAGCACTGAGTGCCAATTCGTTTTTTACTTAGTCACAGAGGGATGGAAATTGACCACCTCAGATTTAAGCAGCCTTGAGTGAGAATTCAGTAATCAATACAGCAAATATTAAAAAGATTATTGCCTGTTAGAGTGATTTCTGCATTGATCCTTCTGCCTTATATTCCAGCTTAACCTGGTTTATTTAACTCTGTTCTAAGGATTCATTTCACTGATGCCTTTTTGATTTTAGTGGAGTTTAAGTAAGAATCGGGAAAGCACTTCTTCATGCTAAACCTCTTTGTCAACAAGATTGAAGCTAGCTCTGAGCTTTTTGGGATCTGCAGTTTTTTAGGAAGCTTCTAACATTTTGTTATTCTTTTTTGCCACACATTGTCTGTGTGAACAAACAAGTATCTCAGAGGAGTATCAAAGCCTTAGAAGGGAAAGTTTACCATATTCTTTTGAATCTTTTCCTATTAAAAGACAGGTTTGGTTGGTGTATTTTTTTTTTAACTGGTTAAGCTATCTCCAAAAGACAATAGCGAGCTGCCTTCTCCTGTCATGTGAAATTTTCACATATAGTTGTCCAAAGTTCCCATCATTTGTTGCAGCACCAGAAATAAAAAAATGTTCTAATAGACCAGCTCTTGCTGATACTTGGGTAGCTTTAGCTCATTGCAGAGAACAAACGTCAAACTGTAAGACCCATCCAATATGAAGACAATAGCTTCTATAGGTACATAATATAAAGTGCATGAAAGTTTTATATAGCATATTATTGCTATATCACTATGCCAACCAGCAATTAGCCTTGTTATTTCTTTAGCTGAAGATCCGTTTTATAATACAGACTCAGTGGCTGAGACAGAAAAACCCACGTGCAATCTTCCAGATTCACTTTTGAGCTGAATTTAATGCAGAGGTGAGATGTAGACCTTGGAAAATACATGTCTCTTGTGAGGCATAAAGGAGAGCAGGATTACTCTCCTCAGGCTTTCAGGAGATCAGTGTCTCCCAGGAAAGCAAGACAGTGACTCTTTTAGATTGAAAATTCTCTTGTGCAGCTTTAATTTTCTGTAGGTGGGTAAACGTCTACCACAATAACCCAAAGTGGTTAGCATCTCGGTGCTACCATACTATCAGAAGCAAATAGCAATAACCATCCAACAGTTCCACTATGCCAGCATTTTTCTACTGATTTCACTTAGCAAGGATGTAGAGTAGAAGTTCCACATACCTCAGAGCTAGAGCTGAGGAGTGCTTGTTCATCAGGTGAAAGGTTGCATAGCCTAGCTTTCTCCCTGTAGAAAAGGGATCTACTACCACACAGGCCTTTTG